GCCAGCTCAGGTGTATGTGGCTGGTGCCTTAGCTGCTTGAGCCACAGGCACCGAGCCCATTTTTAAATTTTATTTGTTTATTTATTTATTTATTTATTTATTGAGACAGAGTCCAAGTGGCCCTGGGTAGAGTGCCAAAGTGTCACAGCCAAGCTCTTGGGCTTACACTATCCTCTTGCCTCAGCCTCCCAAGTGTGACTACAGGCACCCGCCACATCGCCCAGCTATGTTTTGGTTGCAGTTGTCGTTGTTTAGCTGGCCCAGACCAGGTTTGAACCCACCAGCCTCAGTGCATGTGGCTGGTGCTGTAACCACTGTGCTATGGGTGCTGAGCCAGACGCTTGCTTTTTTCACTTAAAAATATATCTTAGTGCCGGGTGAGATGGCTCATGCCTGTAATCCTAGAACTCTGAAAAGCCAAGGCTGGTAGATTGCTTGAGCTCAGGAGTCCAAGAACAGCCTAAATAAGAGTGAGACCTCATCTCTACTAAAAATAGAAAAACTAGCCAGATGTTCTGATGGGGGCCTGTAGTTCCAGCTACTTGAGAGGCTGAGGTAAGAGGATTGCTTGAGCACCAGGGCACTCTACACCCAAGATGACAGAGTGAGACCCTGTCTCAAAAAAAAAAAATCTTAGGAATCGTTCCAACTTGATACATAACAAGTTGCTTCATTCTCTTGTATAACTCTATAGTACTCTACTGTCAAGGACTATAATTTAATTTCCTATGTTTAGATATTTAGGTACTCACAATTTGTTCTTAAAATTATAGACAATACTACACATACAATGAATATTCTTTTTTTATTTTTCTTTTTTTTTGAGACAGAGTTTCACTATGTCACCCTCGGTAGAGTGCTGTGGCGTCACAGCTCACAGCAACCTCAAACTCTTGGGCTTAAGCGATTCTCTTGCCTCAGCCTCCCAAGTAGCTAGGATTACAGGTGCCCACCAAAACGCCTGCTTATTTTTTGTGTTGCAGTTGTCATTGTCATTGTTTAGCAAGCCAGGGTCGGATTTGAACCCGCCTGCCTCAGTGTACGTGGCCAGCATCCTAATCACTGAGCTACGGCGTGGAACCTGAATATTCTTATATATACAGAATTGTATGTGAAAGTCTATCTTTCATGGTGAATTCCTGGAAGTGTAACTGCTCAGTCATGTGAAACGTGTATTGTTTTGTAAGATATTAATAATTTGCCCTTTATAGAGTTTGTACCATTTTACATTTCTACCTACAATGTATGAGATTACTTATTGCCTATATCATTACCAACAACCTGTCAAACTTTGGGAAACATTTTGAACTTTGCAAATCTATTAATATATAGGTCACTATGAAAGTTTTGAGGCAGACTATGTTATCATACATTATTTCATTCCAAAGAAACATAGTCAACAGCATTGTTTCTCATTCACCTGTGCACATTTCAACTTGCTTGGCTTATTGGTGTTGCTAGGAGGGCTTCATTTGTTTCCATCTGTGTGGATTTTACATTTCTTGATTTTCGTGTATCTCAAAAATTTTATAATGACCCACCAATGTCAGTGGTTCTTAGTTGAGATCTACAGGCTTCAAGAAGAAGTTTCTGAGCTGGGCATGGTGGTTCATGTCTATAATCCCAGCCACTTGGGAGGCCAACTTGGGAGGCCAGGGTAAGAGTTCAAGACTACTTTGGCAACATAGCAAAATTCTAATCTCTAAAAAAATGAAAAACAATTAGCCATGTTGATAGTGTATAACTGTAGTCCCAGCTACTCTAGAGGCTGAAGCAGGAGGATCACTTGAATCCAAGTCCAAGAGATCAAGGCTGCAATGAGCTATGATTGACACCACTGTGCTCTAGCCCAGGTGACAGAGCAAGACCCTGTTTCTAAAAAGATAAAAAAAAAAAATAGGAGTTTCTATCCCTGTAGTACCAATTTCTGCCTTCCAAACAAATTCTCAATTTTAGGCATCCCACTACTTGATAAACAGTTCACTTACACCAGTGGTTCTCAACCTTCTTAATGCTGCGATGTATTTTCATTGTTACATAGGGGTCGCGACCCACAAGTTGAGAACCACCAACTTACACTTATATGTGCACCTCATCGACTCTCTGCCCCTTGGTACCAATGACTTATCAATTTTTCTTTTCTTTCTTTCTTTTTTTTGGAGATAGAGTCTCACTTTGTCACCCTTGGTAGAGTGCTGTCGCGTCACAGCTCACAGCAACCTCCAGCTCTTGGGCTTAGGTGATTCTCTTGCCTCAGC